TGAATGTAGAGTGCATGGGCGTGCGAGTAAAACTGAAGTATTACATCAGTGGATAAACATCAGCAAAAGCATTAAAAGGTCATAAAACGTGATAAAATTACCATAAGAGTATTTTCTAGTCCTTAAGAAAAAATTCTATAAAATGCAAAAAATCCGTCCTACACAAAACTTGAACCCTAGTCTCTCGCACATGGAGCCTCACGCTTACAGCTACACCAAGCCGCCGTTGAAAAATGAGGTGCATCCACGTAATTCAAGTTTTTTTCTGTTAAGCTAACTGAAACCACCCTCATAACTCCGTTCAGAAAAACGCTCGGCAAATTTACAAAGCATCCAGCAGTGTAGGTCTCATTTCAAATGGCTACTTCGACTTGGGATCCTTCCCTGGTTAGATAAAAATTGACATTTCCCTGGCGTAACACGGCATAGCACGTTTCATCGAGTTTATTTGAAATCATTCTTTGTTATACTAACAATGGGTGGCTCTCCTAACTACATTTCCACCTATTCGCCTATATCCGTTTCAACACTGAAAGCCAGAGAAATTAGATTAGGTAAAAAAAAATATGATCGACTTTTCGTCTTTATTCTAAAAGTTCTTATTTCTACAGTGCGTTTCATAATTATAAGGTCACCATCGATTTTTGCGATTCTGGAGAAAGCAGCCGGAATGGAATTTTTTGGCAAGCAGATAAAGATTCCTCACCACAATGTACCTCCGTATTCATATTTTTTTCGCAGTATCCTTCACCTCTAATTTTTTATGTCGGCTTAATTTTAAAGATAGTGTCGGCTTTTGCACCATTTCATAATTATAAGGTCACCCTGAGAAAGTAAATGATTTATTAAAGTTGATGGCATATGTGCTACATTTAATAATCTATAGCCCCTCCTTGTTTAAGAGCAACATCAAAGAGCCTGCGTGGCATAGTAGAAACTAAGTTTCGAAGAGCTCCTCATCGATTGCTGTCCATGCTTCGATAATCGCTCTTCTGTGCTCTGGAACTGACGGTTATTCGCATAAACCTGTTTGACTATTATGCCCCAGATATGTTCCATCGGATTGGGACCGGGACTGCAGGCTGATCATGGCAGGACACTTATTTATTGGCCTTGCAGCCACTCATCCGTTGCACGGCTCAAATGAATGGAAGCATTGTCTTGTTGAAAGACATAGTTGAGGTGACGGCGATGGCATAGAAGGGGTACTAGATGATGCTCCAAGACGTTCTTGTAATCCTTGCAATCCGTACTGCAGCTCACGACAGGTAGATCCAACATGACATCATTGCAGAATGCACCCCACACCATAGACTTCCTTCACCGAAATTGTGACGGCTGAAGTAGACTGGTTCCTTTCTCAAGTCGCGTCAGTACCGCTTGT